TGCCTCCTACAAACCTCTGCCCAGGGTAAGGTAATAAGGTCGATTTTACCTTACTCTCTTAATATTAGAACATGGACACTACCCCTAATGATCAGCCAATGAGAGCCCTTTATTTTCGTTGTCAATGTCCCCATAGTACAAAAAAGCGTTGTACTATCCAAAAAAGTGTGGTTCTATCCAAACAGTGTGGTACTATCCAAAAAGTGTGGTATTAAAACTGAGTTTTAAAATCAGTACCACACTTTTTAGTTAGTATTACACTTTTCGGGTTTTAACTGAAACCAGCCCCCCTCCCCCCCCCCCCCCTCTGTGACACTAATCACCCAAGAGACAATAGGATTGAGACACAAACAGACCAGCTTTCTCTAAAATAAATACTGCATTAAAACCGATATTAAACAAGAAAAACTGAAATTGCACAAGAAAGAATTGAACAAGTTTGAAATGAAACTTCGGGGATATGGCCATGATCTAAGTTAGATAGACCATGTACTTGGGCTCGTTTACTGGTAAATAGCGTTGCCCGCCCAATCGGGGACTGTCTGACACCCTCCGCTATCGCCTTGGGAGTCAGGTAGTCCCTGTTGTGGGCGGCGTAACACTATTTCCCAGTAAATTTGCCTGGCCCATGGTCTATCTATATAACACTCACCACATTTTTCTTTGTCCAAAAAATAACAGCACTTCCATTTTTTACGCCCAAACCGGCACCCTCTCAAAAAGCACTTTTTTTGTCTTTGTCCAAAAAATCTCCGCACCTCTCTTCATACAAAAACATTGCACTACTCCTAATCTAAGAAAGCAATGTACTTTTCTTGATCTCCAAAGCTCTTTCCTTTATCCCTAAAAGTGCCGCCCTTTTCTTCTGTTCTGTTCAAGAAAATGCTTCAGCTCTCTTCAGTATCAAAAGCACTTCATTCTTTTTTTTTTAATTCTCCCGTTCAGACAATCAAATTTTTGAATCACTTTGTGAAACCCTCAAAAAAACTACATAAAATGTGAATTGTTTCATGATTGAATGGGCAATGTTTGGGATTCCTGGCCATACTCTGTTCCTTACAATATGTTAACAACATATTCCCTACAATCTTGTCTCTACATAAATGACTTTCAAACCATGAATCGCCACGACGCCAATTGCGATTCGCAAACAAAAATCGCCTCGACGCCAAAGCAAAGCATAAGAACACACCGGACACATGGTCACTCTGCATAAGCCAAAGAAACATTGTGACCGCCTTAACGAATGGAACCTACATCAGGGAAGTCCTGGATGACTTCAAAGGCGGATACACATTAAGACGCTACAAGGGCAAGCCTCTCCGGGCGAACTAGCACTGAATGATGATAGCTCCCTACTGGACATTGTAGATAATCCCAACTCTTCAGCTGATCGACTTAATTCTGATCTTAGGAAGATATCACGCTGGTCTTCGACCTGGCTTATGGAGCTTAATCCGCTAAAGACTGAAGAGATGTGTTTTTCTAGGAAATCCAATTCTCCAGACCATCCCCCCATTATACTTGATAATTGTGTTATTAAATCTGTTAAAGTTCATAAGCATATAGGAATGATACTTACCTCCACCATGTCTTGGGAAACTCAAATTTCACATATGATTGCTAATGTATCCAAACGAGTGTCCACTCTCAACAAGTTGAAATTTAGATTACCACGCACTGTACTTGATGTTATTTTTAAATCTTTTATTCGACCTCTTCTCGAATATGCTGACATAATATGGCATGGATGCACTGTGTATGATTCTCAACGATTAGAACGAGTCCAATATGAATGTGCACTTACAGTTTCAGGGGCTGTCAGAGGGTCTTCTTACTCCTCACTCCTTGTTGATTTAGGCTGGGAGAGACTCTCTGATCGTCGCCATGTTCACTCACTGATCATGATGTACAAAGTAATCCATGGCCATACCCGTCAGTATCTCAGGGACCTGATCTCTCCCGAAGTTTCTTTTTCGACTTCGTATGATCTTCGTAATAAATCTAATTTACGGCTACCGCTTTGTCTTACAACTAGGTATAAAAAGTCTTTCATTCCATATGCTACGCATCACTGGAATGGTCTTGATGTAGCTGTTCGATCTCTGAATCTTTCATTGTATAAGAAGTACTTAGTAAAGTCAGTACGTTCCCCTTTTTACCGACATTTTAGCATCGGCCCCAGGTACACCTGCGCATTACTCACGCGTCTCCGCATCGGGACCTGTAGTCTTAACCACAGCTTATTCTTAAGAAATTTAGCCCCTAGTGCTGCTTGTATCTGCGGGTCTCGTTGTGAGAGTGTCATACATTTTCTTTTACACTGCCCTTTATATAATCAACAAAGAGTCACCCTACTCAGCAATCTCCAGAATGTGGTAGGCTTTGATTTTGATGTTTTCAATATGTCTGAACAATTGTTATGTGATATTTTACTTAGAGGATTACCTGATTTATACTATGATACAAACTGTAATATCTTGCTAACCACTCAAACTTATATTGTTGACACCAAACGGTTTGTACTCGACAGACTTATTATATAGCCTACTAAACATTTCTTTGTACTATTTAACGACCCATCCCACCCACTTGCTGTTCTTTGTTTTTTGTTATGTATTGTAATTGTATTCTATGTTTGGTGGTGAGGCTAAAATTAGCTATAGCTAGAGTACCTCACCACCTTGTCTTGTATTGTCCTTGTTGAATTTGCAAATAAAAAAAATAAAAAAATAGCACTGAAACTGGGGACCAACATCCTCGACACTCCTAAAGATAAGGCTACAGTACAGCAGACCGACCTACCCGGCAGAGAGGACTCTTTCCCTACATTTGCCTCGTCTTTCCGAAAAATTCCCGGAGTCACTACAAGTAACAGTGGGTGAAGTTCGTCAGCACCCTCTCAGCTTCAAAGTCCCAACAGTCCTGCGGCCTAGACTTCATTTTACTTAACCTGCTAGCATGCTACGGGGATGGATGATACCATCTCTGCACCCTTAACCCTCAAACCACAGTAGGTTTTCTGCCGAGTCTTACCGTATGCGGTCAAAAATGACCGAAAAATGCCATACGAATATAGATGTGTGACTCGATTCTGTGATTTTTAAGTATTTCTAGTTTCCTTAATCTATGAATGACAATTTGACACAGTAAGGTGTAAAAATATCTGCTCATTATCATAATTCATGCACCTGAAGCAATATGCCTTTAGGCAGCCATGCCAATGACCTCTGACACCAAGTACATAGCCAAATAGGTCTAGGGTCACTTTTTTTAGTTTTCTGAGCCAAAATGTTGAGGTTATTCAAATGGCAGTAAAAAACATAAGCAAACATATTATCTGGAAGAAAAAATGACAACAAAAGACTCACATGTGTTAAAACACCAGATTAAATTGTTGGGTTAGTTTTGCTCCCGCTAAAACATCCATAAACTTTCTAGGATAACTCAATCAGCAACGTTCTAATCTCAATAAAACGGATGAAAAGTTATAAGAAATATATACAAACTCATAGAAGGAATTTCGTTTTTGACAAAGAATGTCAAACTGGCACAGTTCTGACCCCATACGATGGTTTGAGGGTTGACAAACCTGTTCAATATATGTCTCGCTCGGGCAAGTCCGGAACCCCAAGGTAGAAGGGACCAAATATGACACAAATCCAAAAAGAAGGTAGTCGTCATGCTCCTAAAGGTCCTACAGGCATTTCTTATGAACAACTACAAGCCAATATTCTATATTTTACCCATGCCCAAAGTTCAGGAAAAAACTTGTAAACGATCACCTAATGAAGTAAATTCCTCATTTGCGTGAAATATATAAGTTGTTTATATTCTCCACCAAAAGGCAGTTTTATCTCAACAAAGAATGCCATTCTAGCATTTCTTTATAAATTATGTAAATGAGGTCCTTATTTGAATAAGTTAGGTTCAATGATGTTCACCTTCACTTAACTTTCAAATACCATCCATATTTGCATAATTGTTACATCCATATTTCCATAATTGTTGCACATTCCTGTTAAACATAACCAAATCTACCTACATACTGAAAATCACGATTCGTCAACCGGTTCATGAGTTATCCTCTTTTGAATATTATCAAACGCACCTACAGTTCCAAGTGTAGCCGCTAGGGGGCCCAAACTCACATCACTTCATTCCGATTACAAGTAACAAGATCTACCTATCATTCAAATTGATCCTAGCATGTCTAGGTCATGAGGTATCAAAACCGGATGTGCAGCTGCAGTACCATATGAAGCCACTACAGGGCCTAAAATCTAATCATTTCGAGGTCCCATTAAGACTACTGACCTACCAAATATCAAGTCAATCCATTAAAGCATTCTCAAGCTATAGTGTTTACAGACACGCAGACACACACACACACACAAACGCCTCCACAAAGCCCAAGCCGAAACCATGACGAAGGCAATGACCTGCCTTCCAACTGCGCAGCCTGTGAGGAGAGCAGATGACACCTTTTGCACTGTTACAGGCAGGTTAAAACATGGACCGTATCAGAGTGATTACAACACTGGCGACTACAGGCCGGAGACAAATGCAAAGTTATGTTTATCATGTCACAATTACCGTCCCACAAAGGCTATGCCGATCATTCTAGCTTTACTACCATATAGATCATCTACAGCCACGAACACTTGGGTTTGAGATTAACAAACAAACTCACCCGATCTATGCACATGGGCTCACGGCAAACAAGACAAGACGCGCCGCTTAGTGTCACGGACGAAAGGCAATGGATGCTACCTGAAACATCTATCTGTTTACAAAATCGTATCCAGTTGCTTGAGCATTACTGTTATGGCATATCTTATTACCTGGATGTCTAACCTCGACGTTTCATTGGAGGAGAAAAGATTTTCAGCTGGGGCTCTGTTTTTGTATTTATTCCTGAAAATCATTTGGGTTTTGGTGTGGTTTGTACTAATCACGAGGGGTTTCCTTTTCCTTTCCTCTATAGGTGGCGTGACACTATGGGAAGAAAGATGCGACACATGTTGATTTTCCTTCTAATCATCCTGAAGGAACCCAACATGCAAGAAGCTGGCTGTGGGTTGAAAATCTGTACCTTTGGAAAACATGGTCTCAGAAGCATCCCCCAGAACTATCAGAACAAAAAAACCATCGAGTTTATGAATTTAAATCATAACAATATAAAAATGATTCCATCTGGTATATTTAATAACCTACCCAAGCTAGAAAAGTTGTTGCTTGTTTCCAACAAGATAACAAAAATTCAGCCTGGTGCATTTGCGAATGTACCCCGCCTAGAAGAGCTGCGCCTTGAAAACAACCAGATAACAAAGATTCAGGCGGGTACTTTTGCAAACGTACCCAAACTACAAAAGCTTAACCTGGAAAACAACAAGATAACAAAGATTGAGGCTGGTACATTTGTAAATCTGCCCGTGCTAGAAAGGTTGATACTGTGTCTCAACGTAATAACAATGGTTCAGCCTGGTGCATTTGCTAATGTACCACGCCTACAACACCTGTCCTTACATGACAACCAGATAACAAAGATTCAGGCTGGTGAATTTGCAAATCTACCCTGGGTAGAATATTTGTTACTGCAGAAAAATCAGATAAAAGTAATTCAACCCGGTGCATTTGCAAACCTACACCAACTCAAATATTTACATCTTCACTACAATCAGATCAAAATGATTAAATCTGAGACATTTGCAAACCTACCACAGCTCCAACTGTTGAACTTGTCCCACAACCAGATAACTAACATCCATTCTGGTGCATTTGAAAATGTGCCGTTATTCCAAACTTTGGACCTACAGAACAACAACATGTCGTCCATCCCCCTGTCAGGCCTTGGTCTGTTCATATCTATAATTACCATAAAAATCGATGGGAACCCCTGGCAGTGTGACTGTAGGATGACTCCCTTCAGGCTAAACCTTGCGTTCAACGAGCAGATAGTATGTACCCAAACCCGACAAAGTTAAGGGGCAGAAGCTTACAGATGTCAATCCTGAAGAATTAATATGTGAAGAGCCAACCATATCGACACTAACTTCCCCCCGTACAATAACGTCAGACAAACCAACACAAACTTCTCCCCTTACAACTCCAAACAAACCGAAATCTGTTCCCAGTAACACCCTGTCCGTTCTCATTGGCGTTTCCTGTGGTTCATTACCTGGTCTTGTCCTGACTGGCATCATCATCCTTACAGTGTGGTACAAGATAAAGACCAGAATTCCTCCTTTAGGGCTGCATCCCATTGGTGTTAGTAGCAGAACCAGTGGGCATGATCAAACAAGGCAGGATCAGACTCAAATAAGTCAATGCATTGAAAATCTATCACAGGCTCAAGTACTAGCAGCCTTCAATCCAAACCCTATGTATGAAAGTGTGGGAACACCTGCAAATGACGTGATATCAACGGAAGTAACTAGTTGTCATGATCAAGCAGGTCAAATTCAGTCTCAGACTATCACTGACACAAACGCCACAGATACAATAATGACCAATAATCATGGTCCCAAGTACGAAGATGTTGACAACGATGATTCTAAGATAGGGCAGAGCCAGCGTCAGTCCTTCACTGAATCCGACACAAACACCACAACTACTATAATGATTAATGCTTATACAGATCAGAGTCAGCCTCAGACAATCACTGAATCCAACACAAACACCACAGCTACTGTAATGACCAGTGGTTATGATCAGACAGGTCAGGGTCAGTCCCAGACCATTATGGAATCCAACACAAACACCACAGCTACTGTAATGACCAGTGGTTATGATCAGATAGGTCAGGGTCAGTCCCAGGCCATCACTGAATCCAACACAAACACCACAGCTACTGTAATGACCAGTGGTTATGATCAGACAGGTCAGGGTCAGTCCCAGGCCATCACTGAATCCAACACAAACACCACAGCTACTGTAATGACCAGTGGTTATGATCAGACAGGTCAGGGTCAGTCCCAGACCATCACTGAATCCAACACAAACACCACAGCTACTGTAATGGCTAGTGGTCATGATTAGACAGGTCAGGGTCAGACCATCACTGAATCTAAACACAAAACACAACAGATACAGCAATGACCAGTGGTCATGATCAGACAGGCCAGGGTCAGTCCCAGACCATTATGTAATCAAACACAAACACCACAGCTACTGTAATGACCAGTGGTTATAATCAGACAGGACAGGGCTAGTTTCGGTCAGTTGATGAATATAACACAAGCACCACAGCTACTGTAATCGCCAGTGGTTATACAAACCAAGGTCAGTTTCAGACCATCACTGAATCCAACACAAACACAACAGATACAGCAATGACCAGTGGTCATGATCAGACAGGCCGGGGTCAGTCCTAGACCATTACCGAATCTAACACAAACACCACAGCTACTGTAATGACCAGTTGTTATAATCAGACAGGACAAGGCTACATGTAGTCTCGGTCAGTTGTTGAATATAACACAAACACCACAGCTACTGTAATCGCCAGTGGTTATACAAACCAAGGTCAGTTTCAGACCATTACTGAAACCAACACGTGCACAAACACCACAGCTACTGTAATAGCCAGTGGTCATGATTAGACAGGTCAGGGTCAGTCTCAGACCATCACTGAATCCAACAAAAAAGCAACAGATACAGCAATGACCAGTAGTCATGATCAGACAGGCCAGGGTCAGTCCCAGACCATTACTGAATCAAACACAAACACTACAGCTACTGTAATGACCAGTTGTTATAATCAGACAGGACAAGGCTACATGTAGTCTCGGTCAGTTGTTGAATATAACACAAGCACCACAGCTACTGTAATCGCCAGTGGTTATACAAACCAAGGTCAGTCTCAGACCATCACTGAATCCAACACAAACACAACAGATACAGCAATGACCAGTGGTCATGATCAGATAGGCCAGGGTCAATCCTAGACCATTACCGAATCTAACACAAACACCACAGCTACTGTAATCGCCAGTGGTTATACAAACCAAGGTCATTTTTAGACCATTACTGAAACCAACACGTGCACAAACACCACAGCTACTGTAATGGCCAGTGGATATGATCAAACAGGTCAGGGTCAGTCTCAGACCATCCCTGAATCCAACACAAAGACAACAGATACAGCAATGACCAGTGGTCATGATCAGACAGGCCAGGGTCAGTCCTAGACCATTACCGAATCTAACACAAACACCACAGCTACTGTAATCGCCAGTGGTTATACAAACCAAGGTCAATGTCAGACCATCACTGAATCCTACGGTGGCCCGTAAGTACAGCCCTGCGTGCCTGCGCGAATACCTTCCTCGTCTGCGCGAATACCTTCCTCGTCTGCGCGAATACCTTCCTCGTCTGCGCGAATACCTTCCACGTCTGCACAGAAAAAACTTTCTCGTCTGCGCTGACAGAAAGCTACCTTGTCTGCACGGAAGAATATGTGTCACACCCTGCCTTGTTGAAGAATGGACGGTCCCCTATTATAGGTCAAGGTTCACACCACCTAAAAACAATTTGATTCCCGTCTTTTTTGAGGGGTTTTGTTATGTCTGTCCCGTAATAAAATCACATTTATTTATTTATGAAAAAAACGTGTTTAAAATCGTTTATTGCAATATTGGACAAATTGTGTTCCTGTTCGATGACACGTTTTACTTTAATTTCAAATTTGTTTTTGGACAGTTTTTAGTATTTGAACATTCTGAATAGTGCATGTGGAATATAAATTATTTTTTGTATTCAGAAAGCCCGTAATCTAAAGTTGGGGAAAAACTTGCATTGCCGGGTTTGCTGCCCTCCTGCCAACGGAAATTACGTCAAATCTAACTTCTAGTAGATCTACGGTTCCAGTGAACCAACTTGGGTGGACAACAAGGACGTTGCACTACATGTACGTCCAACAGCGTGCTTTTTTAAAGTTAAGTAAACAAATACGTTACTATTGCAATAACTGATTTTAAACACGTTGATAGGGTCTTTTTCATGAATGAATAAAATTGATTTTATTACGGAACAGACACAACAAAACCCCTGAAAAAGACGGGAATCAAATTGTTTTTAGGCGGTGTGGCCCTTGACCTATAATAGGGGACCGTCCATTCTTCAACAAGGCAGGGTGTGACACATATTCTTCCGTGCAGACGAGGTAGCTTTCTTTCCGCGCAGACGAGGAAGTTTTTTTTCTGTGCAGACGTGGAAGGTACTCGCGCAGACAAGGAAGGTATTCGCGCAGACGTGGAAGGTATTCGCGCAGACGTAGAAGGTATTCGCGCAGACACGCAGGGCCGTACTTACGGGCCACTGCAGAATCCAACACAAACACCACAGCTACTATAATTGCCAGTGGTTATGATCAGACAGAGCAGGGCAGGGAACATGTCATAATTGAATCGTTTTATGCATCATTCAAATCTGGCTTATAGCACAGGGTCGACTGCATTTGAGGTAAATTTGAAACAGGGCAGAGTTTAAAACACCATGATTTGGGCATGTACATTTGCATATTTTTTTAGAATGCAGATGCAAAGAATTTGCAAGTTAGATCATTACTTTTATAATTGTCATCTAATTATGTCAAGCATAATTTGATCTTCTTACGTACCAAACCGCGATCCGTCAACCTGTTGTCCAGGTTCTTGACCATAGCATGACCTGATTACAGGATATCGAGTTCCGCTGAAGTGTCAAGTTCTAATCATTTTGAGGTCTCAGCTTTAAAGCTACTTATCCCATGATTATATGGATTATATCCTCTGGGAAGCCCAAAATTGTTTGGCAAAAAAGGGTTACTTTCAACATGAAATTTACGTGATCATGAGGCTAAACAATTGACACAGAGTATGGTATGACGAAAAGTCTATTCTTCAAATTCATTTATGTACATTTTCGTCTTGTTTTGTTTTCTTTTGGCATTCTACGCCGTTGGTATTGTTTTCTGATATTTTCTTTTTCAACGGTATAATTTTCTTAATTTGCAGCTATTTTGTACGATTTACATTATGGTTGAAAACTTTTTTTTTGAAACGGCCGAAATATCATCCGTATAAACAAATGGCCTTAAGTAAAGATAATGATTCTAACCATATAGTAGTGGATCTGATTTTCTTTTCAAATCTCTAAAAATCATTTTTTTTAATTCAAAGGTTGCTTGTCTATCCGCCACATTTGTTGTTTGGGGCCTTACTATTTAGGAAAAGATACCCTAACCGGTTTGCATATGAGCATCTCATTACTTATTTTGTAATAGTCAAGGCGGTCTGTCATTACGACATTCTTTCCCATTGCTAGGCTTGTTCGAAAAGGTATCGGGTTACGAGACGCAATTTTGGCCTGTTTTGGATTACCCGTAAAACAAATAGTATTTAGTGGTAAATTTCGTCAAATGAAAATGAAATTATCGTCTTAGTGTCCTTGTAATGTTAGCTTTCAATATTAAATCACTGATTTTGTTTTAAATTTCGCTCAGAAAAACGATTATTTTCGGCTTTTTAAGTACAAATCATGTCCTGCTTTCAGGCAAACATCGTCACACCTGGCTACGTGTATTACCCCAGATCCCCGATTTTTATATTTTTCGATAACTAGGAATAAGATTAAAAAATCGTGTTTTAGGAATTTTTTTTTTATTTCTGATTTTAAGTTTTTGTCGACAAATTGGTGAAAAAGTTGCATTTTTCTCCCTAAATTACCAATAATTAAAAACTGAGGCCATTTTCAAAAATCTCTCAAACGCAATTTTCGGGACAACCGTGGCAGTCATTTTGAGCCGTAAATGGGGTATGTTTGACTCTCCATGCTTCCAGTTTTAAACGAGTTTTGCAGACATGTCATGTCGCCCGAAAGTGTGCATTACAGTATTCAAGGTCACCCAAGGATAGGACAGTAGCTTCGCTACATGTTACATGTCCACAAAAAAATGATAGCGGACATGTACTGTCCTGAAAACTGTTTATATCCATAGAAAAGT